TAGTTTCCTACAAGTTTATTATATGGTTAGGATAACAAATACTCAGATAAACATAATGGTGCCAACATATGGAAAAGCAAAGTTAACAGACTTACAAGAAAAAAAAAAGAGAAAATTTGAAAAGCCAAGAGCAAAAGTCAAAGTGATGAAAAATTACACTTAATTAAATATTTTAATCAAATCAATATCATTTACGGTTCCCAAAATTATAAAAAGTACTTTATTTACAAAAACTATAATTAACGTAATAATCGTTCGTAAGATCATTCGGAGTTCTGTAAAAAGTCAATATGCAGCATAGTGGTTATGAGAGCGGGCTTTTGTGACATTAAAGGCAAGGATCTGAATTCTACCCCTGCCAGTTACTAGCAGTTAGAGTTAGACCCTTCAATTTCTTCATCTATAAAATAGAAACAAAACTTCAAAGGGCTGTTACAGGATTAAATAAAAACTAAAAGCTAGAAACAACTGAAAATCCAACAACAGATGGAAGGAAAGATGGAAGGAAGGAAGGAAGGAAGGAAGGAAGGAAGGAAGGAAGGAAGGAAAACAGGGGTGGGCAAAAAGTAGGTTTACAATTGTAATTATGCAAAACAGTTTATCCTTATATTATTGTTTAACTATTTATTTGTATTACAACAGTAAACCTACTTTTGCCCACACCCATATTACAGTATGTAAATTCAGTAAAAGGAATGGACTGCTATATGCAACAAGGATGAATCCTTAATGCATTATGTTGAGCAAAAGAAGCCAGACACAATAAAATATGTATGATTCCATTTATATGAAGTTCTAGAAAAGACAAAACTATTCTATAATGAGAGAAAGCAAATCAGTGGTTGCTCAGAATTACTGGTGGAGACGGACTAACTTGCAAAGGAGCACAAGGGGACTTTTTGGGTGTTTAAAATGTTTTTATATCTGATTGTGGTATTTCCATCAGAATACACATTTGTCATAATTCATTAAACTTGATGCTTTAAATGGGTACATTTTATTGTATTTAAATTATACCTAAGAAAGTTGGTTTTAAAAAGGATTAAGTAAAATAATAAGGCAAAGTCTTGGTACAGTACCTGGTGCATAAGAAGTATTCCAAAAATGATAGATATGTTAAAAACATCAACTACCACTATACAAATTCATGGGGAGGTGGTAGAACCACTGATTACCTGATCTTTCTGGTTGTGTAGATTCTACACTATTTGACCTAGACCAAGCAATAAGGAGCACTACAGAGACCAAGTTATAGAAAGATGACAACTGGCTGTCACTCATGAAAAAACAAGTCTTCCGACTTATGTTAATTTTTAAAAGAAGAAGAAAAAACTAATATCGCATTTAAACATTCTGGGGAAGCAAAAGACTTCAGACTGCATATATAAATCTTAACTGTCAGGGTTTGTTTAGTTTAGCTTTGATTTTAAGAACCTCCACTTGTAACATTAAAGAGGCAGAAAGGACAGGACAGAGACAAGAAGTCCTGAGACAACTCTAGTTCTATTAGAATTTGGATTTCTTCTTGCCTAAAATTGGGTAGATGAAGCAGGCTTCTGAAAATAACCCAACGTTAACACTAATAAACAAAATTGTGCTGGGGTTAATTAAGCATTTATTTTTCATATATCAAAAATAACTAACTGCAAGTTTTCCCCCCTAAATTCAAATAAAATACCAAGACACGCCGAAACCGGTTTGGCTCAGTGGATAGAGCGTCGGCCTGCAGACTGAAGAGTCCCGGGGTTCGATTCCGGTCAAGGGCATGTACCGCACCTGGGTTGCGGGCACATCCCCGGTGGGGGATGTGCAGGAGGCGGCTGATCGATGTTTCTCTCTCATCGATGTTTCTGACTCTCTATCTCTCTCCCTTCCTCTCTGTAAAAAATCAATAAAATATATTAAAAAAAAAAAAAGCCTTATTCAATAGGCTCTTGTTCCTATAAAAAAAATAAATAAATAAAAATAAAAAAATAAAATACCAAGACACATGTGGCAAACTAAGGACCTAAAGCAGTAACTAAATATAATGTTCATCACTGTTTACAAACAGTAACATATCTTCCACCGGCTAATTATTCATTCTAGAACAAATTTTTTGATTAAAGTTTTTCCCAAACCAAAATAATAGGATCCAAGTAGTTACATACAGTACAGGGTGGGACAAAGGTTTGCAGTTGTTCGTATGGAAAATAATACAATAACTAGTAAATAATACAAGAATAAACTGTCTCACGTTCTCACAACTGTACTTTAAGGCTCAGAAGCCACCTTTCTTTGGGGGTCAAAACCCATAAAATAACATTAACGGAAACTTGAATTTGTGGAATCCAAAGTGGTGTTATTTAAAGTTCAATTCAATTAATTCTTGTACATACTATAACTTTATTTTAATTATCTTTTCCATGGAACACTGAGCTAAGTTAGAAATAAGTTTTATTCAAACAACCGAAAGACTTTTCACATCTGACTTAATTCTAAACTTTCAGCATAAATGTTGGGCTTTCATCTTCTTATTTACTTAAAAGACGTTGGAATGTTCTTCCTGATAGTGCGGCCACATTCATTTTCTACTGAAAGTGCAAAATTTTCAAGTAATCTAACACCACAGAGAAATGCGATTAAATCACAGCAGAAAGCAATGGCAGGGTAATATCATGAGGCCAGAACTCGAGCAGCCAATCAAAGGCATAAAAGCATTTCCTGCAATATTAATAGTCAAAAGAGAAAACCAATCACAGAAACCTCGCGCCTTCTTTTGACAGGCACAGAAGCGAGGGAACCAATCCTCGAACACCCGGGGTTGACAATAAGGCGGGACTGCAGGTTCATTGAAGAAATTCTGGAGGGTGCAGTTACTATAAACTTCGCATGCAAGTAACACCACTCCGGTGTCATAAACACTGTCAACCCAGATGAAATTCAACCGTATGCAAAAATTTAACCCATCGGGGAGGAAAAGCAGCCATTGCCAAAAAAAAAAAATAAAAATGCAACTGTCAATTCAGACGCACCAGGTCAACTCCTAAAAGACTCCCCACCCCTCCGATGACAGTTCTCGGGGAGGCGTCCCGGGGACAGCACGCAGCCGGCGGCTCGCAGCTGCGCGTCCCCGGTTCCCTCCGAAGGCTGCGCACCCCGCGGGCGCCGTGCGCGCTGGGCAGGCAGAGCGAGCGAGCAGGTCCCGGACCCTCTAACGCTACAGCCCGCCGGGCAGCCGCGGCCTCCGCCCTCCCCCGGCGCCGTGCCGCCCCGCCTCGCCCCGCGGCACCCCCACGGCCCGGGGGACGACGATTACCTTGCTGGGAGGAAGAGGTTTGTTTTGAAAGCGCTTTCCCTTCCTAAGTCATTTCAAAGATAACCCCATGCCAAACTAAATTTACAAGTTTGAAAAACAAAGCTTTCCCAGCCACAGGATCCCTCTCCCCTTAGTTAACCCAAGGTCCCGGGTGGGAGGGGAGGGGGAAAAAAAAGGTAAACAGAGGCCCTACGCCAAGTGCGGCCAGGACATTTCCCTGCGCCATTCCCAGCCGCCGCTTACGGCAAGGCCCCCTTACGGCAGCGTAAGAGGCGCAGCGAGCTAATCACAACACGGGGACGCAACAACATGGCCGCCGCGGCGGGCGCTGCGCCGGCCGGGAGGGTTTACGCTACTCCGCCGGCGTAGGGGCTCCGGCGTTGGAGCGGCAGCGGCGCCCTCCAGCGAGCGTAAAGCGCGCTGTGAATGGCGAGGCCCGACTGACAAAGGGGAGGGGGGAGGAGGGAAGGGGGGGGTAATAAACACTTGAGTCCCTACCGATTCCTCCTCCTTCTCCATCCCGGTGGGCATCTGGGGCACGGCCCGGTTGATGGAGACGCAGTCGTTGAGATCAGGCATGTCCTTGCCGCGGTAGATAGGCAGCGGTTTGGCGGCGTCCAGCGCCCGCGCTCGGAAGGAGAGTTTACTCATTGTCTCCCCGCCTCACAGGAACAGCCCGGGCGGCGGCGGCGGGGCGGGTGGGGAGGGGGGGAGGACTCCCGCCGCCTCCTCCACCTCCTTCCTCAGTGCAGCGCGGCCGGCCCGCTCCTCCTCCTCCGCCGCACGGCCCCCGGCCACAGCATGGGCGCCCACCCGCCCGAAAACAGCCCCCCGCCGCCCGCGGCCGCTTCCCAACACTAGATCCGCCGCTCGCCCGCCCGATCCGCTCCCTGCGCCATGGCCAACATGGCGGACATTACCACAGCGGCGGCGAGCGATCCCGGCAGCCCGCGCGAGAGCGCGCCCCCGCCGCGGGGACGCGCCCCGTCCGCCCTCCCTCCCTCCTTCCTCTCCCTTCCCCTCCCTCGCCTGCCCACCCACTCGCTCCGCGGCGCGGCCGGCCCGCGGGAGCGTGCTCCGCCTCGGGCGCCGGGGGAGAGGGGCGGCGGCCCTCCGCGGGGCGGCCCTCCGCCGGGCGGGCGGCCCGCGCTCTCGCCGGCGGCAGGTGCCAGGTGCGCCGGGGCCCCGCGCCCCGAGCGTGCGCCTCTGCCTCCGCGGCCGCCGCTCCCGCTCGCCGGGCGCCCGGAGGAAGGCGCCGGGCAGAGCACTGCCGAGCGCGCGGAAATGGGCGAGCGCGCTGAAGTCTGCGAGCGGGAAGGGAGGTGACAGCCGGGCTGTCGCCGCGCCACCAGCCCGCACTCACACACTTGCTTCTGCACTTATGTGCCGACTGTTAGGACGCGGTGCAGTGTGGCGCGCTCCTCCCGGAGGCTGCATCGCTACAGACCCGCTTATTTACTTATTCGTGCAGCGCTGTCTCCAGGCGCCCCGAGCGCCGGCTGATTTGCAACCTCCCGTTCGCTGGTCCCCGGCAGGAGCGAAAGGTCCTCCCTGCTGCCCGCGGGGCGCAGACCTGCCGAGCCCGCCGCCGCTCCAACGCGCCCGCAGCCCCGGCCTCCATCCCGCAGCCCCGGTCTCCATCCCGCAGCCCCGGCCTCCATCCCGCAGCCCCGGCCTCCATCCCCGCAGCCCCCGCCTCCACCCTCGCAGCCCCGGCCTCCATCCCGCAGCCCCGGTCTCCATCCCCGCAGCCCCCGCCTCCACCCCCGCAGCCCCGGCCTCCATCCCGCAGCCCCTCTTTAGAGCCGACCGAAAGCCCTCTCCGAGGTAAGGCGGCGCTGCTCGTCCTCGCCTGGGCGGGGAGGATGTCATGGCAGCTGCGAGGGTTAATGCTGGCGGCTGCCAGACGCAACAAGTGCACTTGAGCCTGTCACCCGAACTATGTAGAGTTATTTAGCGGACGGTAGACATTCCTCTGATTTCAAAACTATTAAGAGTCCTTGAGAATTGAAGATCAAGTGTAACTAAGGCAGCGAGATCTCCGAAGTGGCAGAAGGGTGGACAGTATCAGCTACGGGGAAAGACGAAAAGAAGTTTGAGATAAAGTTCCTGCCCGCGTGGAGCTTCCACGTCGGTGGGCTGGCAGGTCGTTGGGAAGATGGGTTAAAAGTAAGAGCCGCCCTGACGGGTTTGGCTCAGCGGATGGAGCATCGGCCTGCGGACTCCAGGGTCCCAGGTTCGATTCCGGTCAAGGGCATGTACCTTGGTTGCGGGCACATCCCCAGTGGGGAGTGTGCAGGAGGCAGCTGATCGATGTTTCTCTCTCATCGATGTTTCTAACTCTCTATCCCTCTTCCTTCCTCTCTGTAAAAAAATCAATAAAATGTATTTTAAAACAAACAAAAAAACAGTTAAGAGCCGCCAACGGTGGGAGAACCGGGCAACTGGAAAGATAAATGGCAGCAAAACAACAAACCACAAGACAACAACTGTGAATACGTGGAGAAAACGATCCAGGAGATAACACCCGGCAGGAGGACATGAGTAATTACCGAATGAGCTGTACTGGCAATGACTGCCGAGCGAGTCGGAGAAAGGAGGCACTGCGTTAGCCTGAACGGATTAGAGAAAGTCCTGAAGAGGAAGGGAGATCGGGTTGCCTCAACTATACCAGCTATTGTGGAATCGGCCTCGTTTTGCCAAGTTTCTTGGTTAGTCTTGAAGCATTCCAGCTTTCTTACCAAATCCCTAGGAGGAGTGTAACACATTTTACCATGTTCTAATAGTTGATAAATACCCTGCCTCGTTCAGAGAGGAGATGGTGTGCTGAAGTCCAGACGTGTGAACAGTTGATTCCTACAGTCATTTCTATAAAAAACGAACAAAAAAACTTCCTCCCTTAACTCCTCCTTCTCACCCACTTCTTCTCTCCTTTTTTTTTCCCTCCTGCCTTTTCTCTCCATCTCCCTCCTTGAAGGCAGAATGGTGCATATGGACCCCTAGTCTAACCCGCTTGGTGCATCAGTCTTGGGGCGTTGTTCATCTGGGCTTGAGTGTTTTCCATCCACTTTGTTTTTGGAAACAATGGAGATGCTGTGACTCACTTCTTGTAAGCAACACCTTCCTCAGGCTGATGGGCATGTCCGGCTCTGAGTGCTCCCCTCTGGAGCAGTTCCAGTTCTCTGCGAGGAAGGACAAGATGTTGCTGCTACGGGGTCAGCCCTGTTCAGGCCCGAAGTTGGCTGAAGAAATGAGTCATCCAGAGCTTCCCATCTGGGTGCCCAGCACCTCTCCGGCTCAGAAAGGGCAGCTTTTCTCCATGCCCTATATTTATTGCTCCTTTCTCTCTAGAAAGGAGATATTGGGTATTTGTAATATACCAGCCACTATAGTGGTAACATATACATATCCATATTAATTAAATTCCACTGAATTCTCATTACAACCCTATGAAGAAATATTATAACTTTGCTAATAAGGAAAATGAAGCTCAGACAATTTGCCACGTTTCAACACGACTAACTCGCAGAACTGGGTTCAAAACCAGGTCTAGCCTGCCCCCCCCCCAACACCCCCCCCCCAAATTCCTGTTTCCTCTGCAGTGCCACCTTGCTGTCCAATGGCTAATGGAGTGCATGACCCAGAGCCTAAAGATGCAAGGCCCTCAATGAGGGCAGGAACAACACCTGCTCTGTTAACCCTGTATCCCTAGTTCTGTGCCTCACACGGAGCAGACACCTCATATATATTGGTTGACTGATAAATCCCCTCAGGACACTCTGATACCCCACTTCACTCCAGCTTAGAGTTCATCAGACCTTATTGGCCCGCCACCTGACCTAACCATTGCTGCCAGTATTTGCTCTTACAGTCCACCCTGCTCTCCACCTTCCTACCTTGAGCATATGAATTTTAGAACCAATGAAAGCAATTCAAAGAAACTTCTTAAAATCTGAAATTTTATTACATAAACAGGTCTTTTGCTATGGTAGTTGTTGTTTCGTTGTTCTTTTCTTTGAGCATGTAACAGATTTCTCCAAATCTATGTTCCTCCTGCCCTATAGGCAATGATTATAGAGCTGGGATTAAAACGGTTTGAGGCAGGTAACACGGCATGCTTTTCAAGTGAGACACAGCCTGTGTTTTCTTGGCTTCCAATTCAGTACCCAAACCAGAATGCCTCTTTCCACATTTGGAAAGTAGCTTTTATTTGTATACACATATTCTTTTTCATAAAGTTTACTTCTAGTCTATTTGCTGAACACCCATATACTATACTTGTTAGGGCTAAAAGCAGAAAATAGCTTTTCAACCTTTGAAGTAGATCCTGTTATAAAATGTCTTTACCAAAACCTGTTTCAAATGATTGTGTAGCCTAACAGCCTATTTTAATTTCCATGTACAATGCGCTAAGTACACTTATTCTAAAATCAGTCCACTGCAAATATGTTCTGGACCCATTTAAAAAAAAAAAGACATGCATTTAGCCAAGCAAGTGTCATAAATACATATCTAAGAATTAGAAATAGTTTTACAGCCATATCAAAAATAAAATCACGCCCTAGCCGGTTTGGCTCTGTGGATAGAGCGTCAGCCTGTGGACTGAAGGGTCTCAGGTTTGATTCTGGCCAAGGGCACATACCTGGGTTGCAGGCTCGATCCCCAGTGGGGGGGCATGCAGAAGGCAACCAATCAATGATTCTCTCTCATCATTGATGTTTCTATCTCTCTCTCCCTCTTCCTTCCTCTCTGAAATCAATAAAAATATATTTAAAAAAATGAAAATAAATAAAATCACTGTCTAAATGTAGTTTAAATTAGAATAAAAGTCAAATAACAATAAGAATTGAGTTTATATTCCAGTTTCCACTTCCCCTTACTACCATCAGGACAGGCAGCTTCCAAATAATGAACAAATTACTTTTTGAAAGAAGCTTAGAGCTAGTACACACAGTTGCTATTCAACCATTTCAGAATTTTGTAAATGTCACGTACTTTCTAATTGGCTCTCTATTTCAGCAAACCCAACTGAGAGTTAATTGGGTTGGTATGTGAACTGCATCCCCACCTCTCCCCCAGTGTTCCCAGGAATGAGCCCGGTACCAAAAAAGCTTCGTTGTTTTCATCTGTAATCTGAATGTGGGGCCTGCATTCAATACAATCGACCAGAATCAGCCTCCTGGTTCCAGTGCCCTCGACTGAGGCAACTCTGGATCTTTGAGACACAGGGACAGAGACCGCCCTCAAAGGTGACATGCCAAACATCTACTTCCACCTTTATATTTGCAACAGCGAGAAAACCAAATGCTGAACAAAAACTGTGGCTGTGGCTCAGCCGCCTGGCAGCACCGCTTCTCTCAGCCCTGGTTGGAATCACAGGGTGCCACCTTGTGTATAAGCTGACGATTTGCTTCCCAGTTCCACAAAGGACCCAGAGAGACTCAGAAATAATCGGCCCCAAAGCTCTGTGTTTTATTAACCAAGGAAAAACGAGACAGATGTAATCGAAGGAAACAGATTTGAAAACACACAGCTCCAGATGGTCCACAACACTCAATTTCAAATCACACCAATAGCCTGTCTCATTTGTTGCCCCACCCTGACCAGAAAACACACCCAATGGCTCAAACATGGAATAGATGGATGCCGCTCACTCAAGCTTTTGGGTTGGGGATACGGGAAATAGGTAAAGCTCTGTGACAGAGCTAACCAATCTGGCTAGGACAATTATCTGTGTCCAAACAGCAAGCGAGTTACATAGGTTTAATTTCGGGACTTTGAACTTCTGAGAGGCACCGGCTTCCATCGAGTTGATAAATATGATCCTACTTATTTTAATAAAGTGCCAAGTTTGAAACAGAGAAACACGATTATTGAAGCAAGGCCACGGGAGGTAAAATAGGATCCTTCCCCATCCAGCTACCTTGCCCTTGAGAAATCCCACCCTGCTCTAAGTTCAGCACAGCTGCCATCCATCTGAAGCCACCGTTACACTCAGGGAGTTGGCTGGACCTGTCAGATTCTCTTCAGCAGTGAGGTGGAGTGGAGACCCGGGGCTTTTGCGCTACAGCTGCACTTCTGCTGGCTGAGGTCTCCTGAAACATCTATTCTCAGGTGCCTGCCCTGGCCTCCTCCTCCATCCTTTTCTTCTCAGTCATCTCTGAAAGGTAACGTGGAAGGTGGTTTCTCTCTCCCTGTGAAGACTCACTGGTGTGCTGGCACATCTCAGACAACTGTAGCAGGCTCCAAGCCCCGAGCTTGGGGCGGAGGTGGGGGGAGTGCGCGGGGGTCTTAAGTGTCAGCTTAGAGGAGTCCATCTTTAAGAACCTCGAGCTGCTATTCTAAATGTCTCTCCCCTCACCAATTTTAAAAAATCTCTCCCACCACCAAAGGACTAATGTTTATAAACACAGGTTTGGGAATGGAATCCAGGGGTGGGCAAACTTTTTGACTCGAGGGCCACAATGGGTTCTTAAACTGGACCGGAGGGCCGGAACAAAAGCATGGATGGAGTGTTTGTGTGAACTAATATAAATTCAAAGTAAACATCATTACATAAAAGGGTACGGTCTTTTTTTTTTTTTTTTTTTTTAGTTTTATTCATTTCAAACGGGCCGCATCCGGCCAGCGGGCCGTAGTTTGCCCACGGCTGGAATAGGCAATTGGAAGCCTAAATTAAAGAAAATCCGTGAACTGACTTAGTAAGCCTTATTGATCTGATCTTTGTTGCCCCCAAGAACAAGCTGGCCTGTTTCCTGAGAGGTATGGTATTAGCATAGTGAGAGCCCCTAAACTCCAGAGTGACTTGTCAGGAGGCAGAAAGGAAAGCGCCTGAACGTCTCCAAATCAGAAGACAGGTCTACTTGTCTTTTGTCAGCCATTAAAGGTAACTCTGGCAGAGGAAGAGACAGAAGCCATTGAGATAAAATACACCAATTACCTGGATATTTACGGCTTTGCGCACCCCTCACCTTGTTTCAGAAAGACTTTGAGGTGACTTCTGAGAGCAGCTCAATTGTGCTAGGATAGCGTTTGGGCTCTAACTTTCCCAGTAAGGTGAAATATCCTCGTCATGAAAACGTGACTTGTCAGCCTCACAATGTCCATTAAGTAAAACGATTGCTCAGGAGATTTATAACTGTTCCTGGTTCTAATGGGAATGTCCACGAGTTCTTTTTTTTTTTTTTTTTTTTTTTTTTTTTTTTTTAATATATTTTATTGGTTTTTTACAGAGAGGAAGGGAGAGAGATAGAGAGTTAGAAACATCGATGAGAAAGAAACATCGATCAGCTGCCTCCTGCACATCTCCCACTGGGGATATGCCCGCAACCCAGGCACATGCCCTTGACCGGAATCGAACCTGGGACCCTTCAGTCCGCAGGCCGACGCTCTATCCACTGAGCCAAACCGGTTTCGGCCACGAGTTCTTAAATAGAGCACCTCGGTGGTATGACAGACATCTCAACAGCATCCTGAGATACCATAGACCCGCAAGGGGCAACCCAGAGCCGTTTCTTACAGTGGCCCTCTTTGCAAGCGGATGGCATCCTCTGCAATCCCGCACAAACAATTCCGCAAGGGTTACGATGACCTGGATGTCTGAGGCTGGGAGCCCCACCCCATGCAGATCGGGGAGTGGGAATGGCCTCCAAAAAATCCTCCCTGAAGAATGTTTTTCTCTCAACTGTCACCTGCTCAACTGTGTGGCTGAGAGCTCAAAATTGTGCTCTATTACAATTGCCTGAAGTGTGGCTCTTCTAAGTGCCCAATGAAGGGCAGACCCATACGCCTTAAATGACTATCTTGTGGAGGACAGAGTTAGCTTCCTTTTCTGGAAAGAAAGGAGCTTTACCAAAACCAGTGCCTGAATAGAAAGCTGTCCCTCCTGCT